CAACACCAGAGATGGAGGCAGAGGTGATGGCATGGAGAGACAGCACAGCTGAGGACTCTAGGTTCATGGAAGGAGAAAGACTGTATGCTGGTGGCCAGGAAGCTGGCTTGCTAAATGTACCCTTTGGCTGTTTAAACAATTATATATCCCTGGGTATTTTTTTGTACCTCAAAAAAAGGGGGTGGGGAATAGAGGCAAATACTGTTAACCGATGGTACATGGAGGGGATTGTAATCATTGCATTGAGACAAAATATGATTGGTCAAGTACAAAACCAATGTTCTGCCATGTTAACCATCACTCAATTCACAATAAAAGCATTAAAAAAGGAAGATGTAAGGAATACACAGAGTCACTGTACCAAAAAGAAATGGATGATGTTCAGCCATTTCAAGAGATAGCATATGATGAAGAGCCAGTGGTACTCAAAGAAGACGTCCAAGGTGCACTGTAAGCATTGGCAAAGAAGAAAGTTACAGGAGTTGATGGAATATAAATTAAAATCTTTCTACAAACTGACACAGCCTTTGGTTGGGTGATGATGCATGGACGGGATGGCAATAAAATGATGTATGATAGAATGAGTGTAAAGCTAATATTCCCCCATGTAAACTATCACACAATAAAAAAAAAAATGATTTCTTACATTTTTACAGAACAAAATGTCTGCAATGCAATAGTTGTTAATTCCATCCTCCTTTGTTCTCGCCACACTTACCTCTCATTTTGAACAGGAGCCTTGAAGCAGCAAGGAAAATGTCCAATTACCAGAGTTAGATTGAGGATGATTTCCTTGTTAAATGTTTCCTGAACTCTAGATAAAAGACCAAATTTAATTGTAAATAGTCTTTTTCACAAATTAATAAGTGATCCTATATGGCTACCAAAATAAAGATTATTTACCTACCCCCCTCTTGTTATAGAGATTGCTTTTAACATTTCTCTGTGGATTCCTTAGAAGGTGTTCTGATGTGTCAACTTTCATTCTCTTGACTGCAGTTACTCTCTGGGTGGCTCAAGTGTGCATTCCAATGCTGCATGCACGTAGGCACACATTCATGTACGAAGATGCCTGTTCTTAAACAAAATGACTATGTACAGTAGTTTTTGGTTTAAAAAACTTGGCATATTGAATTTAGTTCCTGTGTCTTATTATTTGGGCAACTCTCCATTTCTCTTTCTCTCTTTTTAAAAAAAAATCATCTACTGTGTGTTGTTAAGGGTTTGGAGTCGGTTCTGATTCATAGCGACCCTGTGTAAGATTTCCAAGGAGTAACTGGTGAGTTTGAACCACTGTCTTTGTGGTCTAGTGCTTATCCCACAGCACCACATCAAGACTCTGTCTACTATACTAGTGACGAAAACTAGATAAAAAGCAGATAAAATGTTGGCTTTTGTTTTTCTTTTCCTCAGAGAACATTACTTGGATTCTGGGAGAAAACAGCTCGATTGATGTTCCAGATCCACGGGGAATGTGTTGGCTTCCATCCATATGATTTTGTAGCTCTCAAGGTAACATTCCACTCCTGTTCTTTTGTTAACTGTATTCCACATCATTTGGTACTAACATGAAACTCTTTTTCTGTAATGCCTCATTTCAAATTGATGAGACACAGGGAAGCACTTTTCTACAGTCCTCAGCCAAGGATCAGCACTTCCCTGATTCCGTGTCTTACAGCAACACTAAGAAAACACATGGGACTACCACTGACATGATCAAGATATGAATAGGGTAGTTGAGGGGAAAGGAAGAAAGGTAAAATGCAGTGGAGATGGGAAACAAAGGTAGTGGGAAGGAAAAACTTAAGAGGAAGAAGTGATAGAAAGTGTTCATGTGTTCTTAAAAGTGACCAGATTACCTACCCAGCAATTTTAGAAGTTAAAAAAAAATTTTTTTGCCCTTGTTTAACTTTTACTTTGGTGTCATAGAATATGTATTCTAAAGAATTTTTATTCACATTTTATTTGCATAATATAAAACATGTGTCAGGTATGATTGTAGCTATGGTTATACTGATTTTGATACCTGTGCATCTTCCTGTCATCCATCTTTGCAAATGACTTGTTCAGAAAAGTCACACTGTGTGAAGCATGGCTTTACTCTGGTAAGCTAGATGTCAGGACCAATCAGAGTATCAGTATAGCTTAGAAGTGTTGCTTATGAATTTGCTCAAACCATATGTGATATTTCTGATTGGTTCATATCTTCTTGTAGGTTCATATTCTTGGGATTTAGTCTAGATTTTTAAGTCATGTTCTGACATGGCATCTTCCAGTATAAAAGATGTCCTTTAATTAGTTTCTTATTACTTCTATAGTAAATGATTCACTGGATAGCAAGCAAACAGTGTTATTAAGAAAGCAGTGTTGATACCATTTCTGATTAGAATTAGGATTGAAAAGCTTTGGTTATATTTATAGCATGCCTTACAGGCTGGCAGTGCAGCGTAAGTCTTCTTTAGGCAAATCAGAAAGATGTTAACACTGTTATTAGCCCACATCACAGTGTGAATGGTTTCTATAAGCAGCCAGCATAGACAAGAACATGGGATTCATTCATATGATATTCATACATGTTTCTCATATCTCTCACGCTCTAGTCCCAAAAGTATTCCTATTTTATATTGTTTTTAGAATTTTTATTCTGTTTGCAAAGAGGGAAACAAATTCTTTGTCTAGTTAACATTGAATTTCTTATCCTTAGCAACTGCAAGATACTTCAAGCAAGGTTACTGAAGACCACAAAGAAGAACAAATAGAAAATAGTTATTTTACAGAAGACCTCAATAAGTGAGCAAGCAAAAGTTATATATAGTGTATGGAAGTCTTGAATGCCATTGTGACATATGTTTAAAGAATTGTTTCTTTTCTGACTTACTAAATACGCATGTGTCATTTTCCCAATCAACACTAAAAATTTATTGTGACTCCTTGTATACATATTCTTTCCATTGTCAACATGGTAGACAAGGAGACAATACATATACACAACAAATTGGGTAGATTAGTCCACATGCTGTCTTTGGAAGACAGCCTTGTAATAGAGCCCCAAGTACCCCTACCCAGTGCCTCCCATAAGGAACAGCAGGAGAGAAGAAAGTGACAGGTGCTAGCAGCTGTGTGACAACAGCTGGGAAGACCTGTGGTAAAAAATTTATCTCAACACAGATGTGACTTGGTAGACTACCTGGAAACAGTGCTGTTTTTATGCACGTCTTTCATGCTGCCCATTTCCCTTAGAGTCCTTATGCCCTTTGTTTTCCTTTAAGAGCTGCTACTTAGTACTCAGTTTAAAACTAGATTCCACTGGATATAGAAATGTACCAAGTTATAAGGCCAAGACAGTGACAAAGCCTTGTGTAGAAAGTGATCCTAAATACCAGGGGAAGTAAAAAAAACATTAGTATATAATTATCTAAACCTTTATTAAGCAAAAATATCAAAATTTGAAGTTATTCTTTATCAGTGTACCTTCCACTCAGGTCTATACACTTTTGAAGACAGTGTTTCCATCTCTCCAACCCTTCCCCAAAGAATTTTGCACTTTTCAATTTATACCACATCAAAATGGCAGTTAGGCATGCTTGAGGGATCATTTTAAATATTCTTTGAGTTTAGGGACCACACAGAAGTCTAAAGGGGCAAGATTGATGTGTAGGGTGGATGAAGTAAGGTTTCCCAACAAAAACCTCAGAACAGCTCTTATTGTTGTTGTTGTTGTTAGGTGCCATCGAGTCGGTACCGACTCATAGTGACCTTATGCACAGCAGAACGAAACACTGCCCGATCCTGGGCCAGCCTCACTACTGTTGCTACACTTGAGTCCATCAATACTGCCACTTGGCCAATCCATCTCGTTGGGGGTCTTCCTCTTTTTCTCTGACCCTCCACCCTACCAAACATGATATCCTTCTCCAGTGACTGTTCCCTCCTGACTCCCCTTGAAAAATGAGCAGGTGCATTGTCCTGATGGAAAAAAAAAATGCCTCATTGAATCTTTACTGTCCTTTTTATGACAAAAGTAGTTTTCAATCTTCTTAAAACTTCTTCATAATAAGAGTAATGTCAAATTTTTAACAAAAATCATATGGACATCTTCCCAAATCCCTGAAGTTTTGGAACAAATTGTGGGAATGCTGCCCCACATAAAACAGCATTTTAAGGAAGGTCAGGAAGATTTCAAAAATGAATTCAAGGTAGAGAGTTCAGCTCAGAAGATCATGGAAACTGTTGGGCTTCCCAAGGGGTAATCTGTATAGATTTCTTCAAAGGATACAGGACAAACATGGGATCTTATTATGAAGAAGTTTTAAGAAAATTGGAAACTACTTTTGTCAGAAAAAGGACAATAAATATTCAATTTTTTTCCATAGCATAAAAAGTATTCTATTTTTTTGTAGGTTCCCTAACAAGATGAAGATAAGTGTATTACTGAGAGAATTTACTGGCAGCCCTCCATTGATCATGGAGACATGTTTAAACACGTTTTGTTTAGAATAAAACTGTGCATGTATGAACTGGAGTGCCAGAAACAGCAACTTCATTGTTTACCATTTTGCCATCTTTTTTCCATGGGACAATCCACAACAGCATTTTGGCTAACTTAATAACAACTGTGATAGGATGTAGATTAAGTGATCAAATATCTAATTATAAAATAAAGCCACTAATTTAGTTTTTGAATATTTGTAGTTACATGAAATATTAATTTAAAAATTTTAAATCATATTTTTCACTCACATTTTATGAATTTTGCACAGAATCTCCTTGTGCATCTTTAGCATTATGGTAACTACTTTTTGAGCTAACTTACAAATTCCATGGCACTTTACCTTATATTCCATCTAAGCTGTCTAATGAACCATATATGTGTAGTGTCATTAGAAATTTCATTCTAAGACACAGGTACCTACTTACTCTGTAGGTTTATTTTTATGGTCATTGCAAAATAAGTGTTGTTATTTTAAGAGTCTCAAAAGGCATATTAAAAACAGCTTCCAGTACTGAGGGTACCAGGAATAATGAGTAAATATGGGTAAAATTTCTTTGGCTCACTTTTGGATATTTCATCTTTAATACCCCAAATTAGTATTAATTAAGATTGTGTTGGCTAATATATTGTCTTCTGCAAGCATGCCTTTGATGTTCAAAATAGTGTACCCTTTTGTTTCTAAAGTTTTTCATCCCCTCTATTTCCCAATTATTCCTGAGCAAGACCTTTCAGTGCTTGAAAACTAAACACCAAAGTCTATGGCTTTAGTGCTTCCCATTATGCTTGTCAAAGTTGATAACGGCCCTCTATGTAGCACATTGTCTACAATGCTGAATCTGAGGCCTGCCACTTGGCTGGTACTCAGTAAATGTTTATTGAATGAATGAGGGGATGAAAGATTAATTTAACAGTCTGTGTAGATCTATGGAAGAAACAGGAAATTCTTAGATACAGATTTCTGGATATCTGCTTGACAGCTATTTTATATGTTTCCTCAGTTAAAAAAAAAAAAAAAGATTTAAACTACATAAAACTGTTTATTGCACATGAATTCTAAATGAATTTTAACCAAAATCTTTGCATTTTTAAATTTTCACTTCAGATTAGTTTTGTTAAATGAGGAAGCAAACTTGGGGAGTGAACCAGGTAAGACAGCAAAAATTCATTACTTTGAAATTATAACATTTTAAATACCAAAATAGTTTATCATAGCTTTTAAAAAAAGATTGTGTTGAAAACCATTAAATTTAAATAGACATGTTAAATAAGTCACCATATAGGTCCTCTCTGTATAAACACTTCTGACTTATCTTTCTAAAAATGCCTACTTAGAGGGTTGAATAAAGTCTTCCATAGGGAATTCTGTTTTCCTCCAAAATTTGTTGTTCCTATTGGTAAGTGCCATAAAGTCATTTTCAACTTATAGTGACCCTGTATAAGGTTTCCAACGGTGTAAATCTTTGCGGTACCAGAAAATTTCATCTTTCTCTTACGGAGTGGCTGGTGGTCTCAAACCTCCAACCTTGTCCTTGTGGTTCACAGTCCAGTGCTTATCCTATGGAATTTTAAAATGCAGAAATCCAATTCACAGATAATAGGACTGCATGATTAAATTTCAAGTTCTCCTCATACTTTGTTTTTATTAGAAATTTGTATTTATAGACAGTCAATATATATTTGGATCACTGTGAAAAAAAATAATGTAGACTTTGGAGGCAGAAAAATCTGGATTTGAATTTGTGCTCATGAGGAACCTGTACATAAACCAAAAGCAGTCTTTCAAACAAAACAAGGGAACACTGAATGTTTTAAAATCAGGAAAGGTGTGTGTCAGGGTTTTATCCTCTCACCATACTTAACTTATTCTGTATACTTAGCAAATAATCCAGGAAAGTAGATTATCTGAAGAAGAATGTGGCTTCAAGATTGGAAGAAGACACATTTATAGGCTGCAATATGCAGATGACACAGTCTTGCTTGCTGGAAGTTAAGAGGACTGAAAATCCTGATGAAAATCAAAGACTATACTTTCTGTATGAATTGCACCTCAAATAAAGAAAAAGAACATCCTCACAAATGTTTGCCTGTCATTTACTGACTATGCAGAAGCCTTCAATTGTGTGGATCATGACAAGTTATGGACAACATTGATAAGTTTGAGTATTCTGGAACACATAATTGTGCTCATGAGGAACCTGTACATAGACCAAGGGGCAGTTGCTAGAACAAAACAAAGGAAGACCAAATGGTTTAAAACTAGGAAAGGTGTGCACCAGCGTTGTATTCTTTCACCATACTTATTCAATATGTATGCTGAACAAATAATCAGAGAAGCTGGATTGTATGAACAAGAGTGTAGCATCAGGATTGGAGGAAGTCTCATGAACAATTTGCGATACGCATATGATACAACCTTGCTTGCTGAAAGAGAAGGGGGCTTAAAATTCTTACTGATGAAGATAAAAGACCACAGCCTTTGGTATGGATTGCACCTCAATGTATAGAAAACTAAAGTCCTCACCACTGGGTCAGTAAACAGCATCTGTATAAATGGAGAAAAGATTGAAGTTGTCAAAGACTTCATTTTGCTTGGATCCACTATCAACACTCATGGAAGCAGCAGTCAAGAAATCAAATGACATATTGCATTAAGAAACTCTGTTGCACAAGACCTCTTTAAAATGTTCAAGAGCAAAGATGCCAGTTTGATGACTAAATTGCGCCTGACTCTAGCCATGGTATTTTCAATAGCTTCTTTTTCATGTGAAAGTTGTACAGTGAGTAATAGACTATAGACAAAATGATACATTTGCATTGATGTTGGAGAATAATGTTAAAAGTACCATAGACCGCCAGAAGACCAAACGAATCTGTGTTGGAAGAAGTACAGCCAGAATGGCCCTTAGAAGCCAGGATGATGAGATGTTGACTGTCATATTCAGGAGAAACCAGTCCCTGGAGAAGGGCATCATACTATGTAAAGTAGAGGGTCAACAAAAAAGAGGAAGACCCCTCAGGCGAGATGGATTGGCACAGTGGCAGCAGCAGTGGGCTCAAGCTTAGCAATGATTGAGAGGGTGGCACAGGACTGAGCAGAGCAACAAGACAAGAAAAAGAGAAAAGTTATCCAGATTAGAAAAGAAGTAAAAGTATCTCTATTCACAGATGATTTGATCCTATTTGTGAAAAATGCCAAGAGTCCACAGAAAACTTCTAGAGCTAATAGAGGAATTTATCAAGTTACAGGGTATGAGTTTAACAACAACAAAAAGTTGGGTTTCTATAACCAATTGGGTTTCTATAAATAACCAGCAATGAGAAATCTAAAATGGAAATTTAGGAAACTATTCAACAACAACAACAACAACATTCACTTACAGTAGTATCTATTTATTCCTAGAATCAAATGCCTAGAAATAAATCTAACCAGGGATGTGAAGGGTTTATACAATGAAAAGTATATAACAGTCTAAAAGGGATTTTAAAAGACTCAAATTAATGGAAAGACATTCATATATTTAAAGACTTAATATTAAGATGTCACTACTACCCAAAGTGATCTGTAGATTCAATGTAATCCTGATCAAAATTACAGTAGCCTTCTTTATAGAAATTGGAAAACCAGTTCTTAACTTTATGTGAAAGGACAAGAGGCCCTGTATAGCTAAAACATTGCTGGAAGAGAACAATAAAGTAGGAGGACTCACACTTCCAGATTTAAAACATAGCATGTTGTTCTTAAGTGCTATTGAGTCAGTTGTAGCTCATAGCAAACCTGAATAGGGTTTCTGAGGCTGTACATTTTTGCAGGAGCAGAAAGCCCAATTTTTTCCCACACAGTGGCTGGTGGACTCAAACTGCCAATCTTGTGATTTGCAGTCCAATTTTTACTCTGTAGTGCCAGTGTGCTCCCAAAACATACTATCATGTTAGTGTTGGTGGTTATGTGCCATGGAGTTGGTTTCAACTCATAGAGACTCTGTATAGGGCTTCCAGGGCTGTAAATCTTTATGGGAGCAT